CATTCATGCTGACGCTGTTTCCGAGGCAATCTCACTCGATTCCGGTGAAAAGGTGCTAAGCTTTCGTCCGCCGTCGTCTTCTGGTGGAACCGACCATCGAATCGCTTCACCCGAAACACTTCCACTCGAAATGGAAGTAAGCTCAACAATTGTGAAACAAGAGATTCCTTGAAACTCAACTTTTATTCGTATATTTTTAAACTTGGTTAATTAGTATTAGCATGAGTAACTCGGACCAGTATTTTTATTAGACTTTGGACTTATTCGTAGTGTCTGGCTTTATGGATAAAGTTGACAAATTAATATAGATATATAGAATATAATTAATATGGCTTTTGTGGCTAGAGTATTTTGATTAATTTGTATTACTCCTCGTTTGCTTTTCTAAACTAATGTGATGTTTTTTTCATGTTTTTCTTTTGTTTTTTCTACGCAGATGTAAGTATTACTATCGTATTATTTTCAGTTAGCTTAAAAGTAAAATCGTTGGTTTGATGAACTATTAGTGAATTATCAGATGAATGCGAGTTCTTCTTTTTATCCGGTAGTATTTTGATTTTGTAATGTGATACTATTGCTATTGTTTGTATATTTTTTCATACAACTCTGCTTACCTGTGCCCTCCAGCCTCTTATATCTGCTGTAGTATGTAGTGCAAAACTCTTTTTAATTGGATAATTTCCTGACTTACACTCGATTGTCTGTATTAGCATGGAAAAATAGGTAATATGAAGTTTGCACTTCTCAGAAGAACTGTTTTCATCCTGTTTTAGTCTCCGTGACCCTATTTTATAATCACTCATTTCGTCTTTTTACTTCAATAAAAATACTGAGCTTAAAGGAAAACATATGAGATGTATTCACCCTTTTTCGTTTAAGGTGATGAAGGACTGGTAGTAGAATTTTCCCACAATAATATGAGTAAAGCGGACGTTTCCAAAGGTTGTTCACATCCAGGGTGCAATCCACCCTGAAAATAGGGTGAATACATCTCATAATGATTAGCATAGTAGTCGAAAATAACTACTTGCTCCATTTCATTAATATGTCAGAAGGAATTGCAAAGCAGATAATTACTCAGCAAAATAAAATTGACTATTATAACCGTGAGGTGAAGAGACAACAAATTCCCTCAGAATTGATACGTTCTCAAGTATAGAAATTCAAGCAGAGTTGACAATTTCACGGCTCCATCTCAACTGAGAGTACTTGTCGTGTTTGAGCGATGTTGGAAATAAGGTCTGACATGGATGAAAATGCTTTTTGAGGGACGAGGCAGGACATACTTCTTTTTCATTAAGTATTGTTTTCGTGACTACCAGTAAATCAGTAGTATGAGATGTATTCACCCAATTTCGTTTAAGGATGAGAACAACTTTTGGGAAAGCAAGTCTATGTGAAAATTGAATGGAATCGTCAGATCAACTTGTATCATTGTGGGAAACTTCTTATTCTTCTTCCACCAGTCCTTCATCACCTTAAACGAAATTGGGTGAATATATCTCATACTACTGATTTACTGATAGCCA